GGGGCCCAGGGCTACAGCCCCCTTAGCCCCTCCCCTTAAATCGGCACTGCTTATCATCCACTGTATCGTTACCATTTTAAAGTCCTGCGTCAATATTAATCCCGAAATGTGTGTCTGTAGGGTGAAGAAACCGATGGAGTTTAACAGACCAAGAATTCCGATCTCCGAGCGAGTTATTACGCGCCGCGCGAATTCGTATATTAGCAAAAAGGTTGGTATGCATATGTACACTTACGGTCTTACGATATAGAATGGTAGATATACATATTTTTTTTTTCATATCTCTGCAACCGTTCTCGTATCGTTTTGCCGTTTTTATCATTACGCATCGATTGATCTGGAAACGTAGTTGAAGTTATGGGGGGTCGGGCATTGATGTTTCAGACCGCACGGCGCAAGCGAGGTTTCATAAAAGGCCGACCGGTTGTTATTAAAGGGCAGAAACCTCAACGACGAACAACGTAACGAAGATTCGCTGACTATTTCATAAAACCGTTTGCAAATACAACTTTTGTAATAAAAGAATTACCGTCCCTTGGGTCTTACCACAAACTATACCTCGAACTAAGAATTTAATCGTCGTCAGAACAATTCAACCGACTCGAAGAGTAGAATATTCAAAAAAAAAAAAAAAAAACTAGATAGTTTTTCGTCGTCTCCAGAGCAGGTTGACAGATTGGTAGTTTTACGAAAGATTGTTTCTATAAATCTCCTTTCTCGTAATAATTTGGCTCATACACAATGTTACATCGTTACTCGTTTTTCGTTCGCCATTTTTCGCATGAAAAGATCTTTTCGTTTATTTCGATTATCAGCATAATCACATCATTTATTAACGTAACATTCTTCTTTTCGTTTTACGCAGATCACACGCAATCATCTCCGATATAATTGAGTCGATATATTTATATGAATATATATATATATATATATATATATATATTCGCTAAATCTTTTATCGTTGTGCGCGCCTTCAACAAATAAGTGTAAATGAATAAACAGATCACAAACTAAATAGAATGAATAAACAGCGAATGTATTCTCGCGGTGCATCGCCTCGAGAAAATGATTACAAGTTTTCTTCATTCTATTGATTAATATACTCGTAATAAAGTGCATCATGCGGACGGATCGCGAGGTGCGACGACAACAAGTTAAAAAATGAGAGAAATTGGGTTTGTTAATCGGGAATGTTAAGTTCGATCGAATGCATATACTCTTAAAAATTATTGTGAGAAACAGAGAGAGAAAAAACAGTGACAGTGCGTGCAAGTACTTCGTGGAGGATCAAACGCCAATTTTTGTATGAAAAATTTATTAAACAACAATATATATATATATATCAGTATAACAATAATTAGTGTCTCTATCTTTGTATCTCGCATAACAAACCCATAGACGTATCTCTATATAAACAAGCCCAAGATATGTACATACTTCACTCTTAACATTCTTACTAAATACTTAAATATATAACATTCCAAGGAATGCCATCTGTCCGGCAATATCTATCTCTTCAGCACTAGCACCTTTTCACGATCAGCAGCCTACTCATATACATCAACGCAATTTGTTAACATAAACAACTCTTGTAAATATTAATATGTTAAATGTACGCAATATATCTGAGGCCGGTAGAGAGAAATCGAGATAATCTTACGTGGACAATCTCTGTGGAAAGCGAAAACGCAAAATCTCGTCGCAAACGACAACGGAAGCTTGCTACAGGGGGGGGGGGGAATACACATACTGATGAGGCCTGGATCTAGACATCGATAGACAGTACTGTGTATATCTTAATCACAAAAATTTTGGTCGAATTATCGAAAATGTTATCGATTTCGCAAACGCGGTCGTTTGCGCAGGCCGGGAACGCTCGCAGACGCCCGTCCACGAATTCGTGGATGTATATCCTCGCAGCGACGCGCGAAGAGCGAGAACTTTTATTATCCCGATGTACCGGGCTGTCACATGTTCAACGGACAAACGTGCGAGTAGATGATGATGTTGCCAGACAAGCAAATAAGGACACCGATAGCGACAAGGACGAGGTAGAATTGGTACTTAATCGAGATTACATTCAATTCCGGAGACGGAGGCGCGTCCGTGTCACTTACTTGCGTCATTTCGTCCCGCCGCTCTTGCTCCAGGACATGCCGGCGTGCGCGCAGCTCGCGCTGACGCGACTCCAGGACCGCGATCGCGTCCGCCCACTCTTTCCACTGAGCGCCCCATTCGCGCTCCAGCTCGCGTTGCGCTCCCTCCAGCGCTTCCCTTCGAGCGGCCCATCTCTCCTCGCGCTCCTCTTGTTCTCTCTGCGAAGGAAAAGAAAAATAATTAGTTAAGAATTCGGTCCAACGAGAAATGTTTCATCAACGAACCTTGAAGTCTTCCTTCTCCTTCAGAAGCGCGGCCTTCTGCTGCTCCAGTTCCTCGACCGCCCTGAGGTCCTCGCTCGAGTTCAGGAGATTGTCGCTGGAGCAGGACGCGTGTAGATCGGAAACGCTCCAACTTAGTAGCGATAATCTCGACAGATTGACAACCGTTGATTGTAGATTGCCGTTACCCGAGCCGCCCTCCTTTCGCAGCTTGGCCGCCTCGGCCGGGTCGTTGTACCGGAACATGTTGTTCCTACCCAGGAGAATGATACAGCCTTGCGATAATCTCGTCGGCTTGTCCACCTGGGCGGTATTGATCCAGCAGTGGGGCGAGAGCGGATGCAGCGTCGCCACGCCGCTATCCAGCTCGACGACGCAGTGTTCCAGCTCCACGTCCGCACCGGTCAATACGATATCCTGTTTGTGATACAACGAGCATTTTCACAATCGTCTTTTTATTAATTAACACAATAATGCAACTAATGAAAATAATATAATAATAATAATATGAAAATAACGCAACTTTTTAAAGCTTGGTCTTTTATTCTGGAATTGGAGCGATTAGTACTTTACACATTGGTTATATATAGTTTCTACTTTATATATATGTAATTTTGAAAATTTTATTATATTTGTTTTTTTTTTTCACCTGAACAACGGGAGCTTCCTCCGTGCCGACAAGCGTTTTTCCCTCTTTCAGATGATACAATGTCACGCCGGTACTGAGCAAATCGTCGTCGATGCCGACTAGATGCGGCATTTCCGAGTCTAGAACGACACCGACCCCGCTCTTGCGTAATCCCAGCGCTTTTTGCTCTTGCAGAATCTGTTGCGTCTCTCGCCACTTTTCGGTCCATTCCTCGGTCAGTACCTTCTCCTGCTCTTGCTTCTCTTGGATTTGAGCCAACAGCACTTGCGGCGGTTTCTCCACGCTCTGTAATCAACAAATAGATATAGATATTTTTTCCCTAAAACGGCAATGAGAAAGAATTTAGAAAAACACGCGCCGCGGTCACTTTCACGAAATACTTGCCATATTTTTGTCGATGAGAGACTTCAGCTTCTCTATCTCCGCTCTGAGCTCTCTGATGAGCTTCACATTCGCGTCTTCGTTGATGGTCGGCTTGTTGATAATGTTTTTCGCGCGATTGGCGTATCTAAGTGTACTGAGAGTGTCGTTGTAATTGCATTCCGCCGGGCTGATAGTCGCTATCATGATAGTCTTGGAATTGCCGCCGAGGGAATCCTTCAGCAGCCACGTGAGCACGCTGTCGCGATAAGGGATAAACGTACGTTTCGTGGCGGACGCGTCGCCGCTGGCAGAACTGAGCTCGGAGAGCGTGGATATCACAGTGCCCAAAGTCACCAGCGACTTGTTGATGTGCGCGCCTTCCTTCAGCCGTTGACCCGTCGCTCCCGACGCGTTAGCACGTTCACTGAAGTGGCAGAGAACATCGAAACGTTAAGAAACCGCGTAAAAACTCGTCACGCTATTTTTTTTTTTTACTCTTTGTCTTTTATTTTCGCGAACGAACGGACTCGAGAATAACTCGACTTGTGAATGCTTTTGAGGGGACTACCTTCCGGCCAAGTCGACCAGGTGCACCTTGGAAACAGTCTCCGACGGCATGTTGCCCTCTGAGAGGCCGGCTTGAACGAAGGTTATCGTAAAAATCGCGTGACTCCTGCTACTCACGTCGTTCATCTTTGTGCTCGCCGTAGTTCTGTGCGTATTACCTCTCACCATGCATTCCTGAAACAAAAGTAATCCTTTTATGCACTGATATTACGAGGAGATACTATTATTATTACGTATTATTCATTATATACAATATTTATTTTATATATTACTTTATTTATACTGAAGTAGCAACGTAAACAAATTTATTTCATAAAAATGATGCGATAAGAGAGATTAATATGATTATAAGTATATATATATAATTCTTAGTAATTTCAGTAAACAATAGAGATAAAGCAGATAAGCGAATAGTACTCGTTATTAAAGCGCTTTCCGTTGGTCTTACCTGAATGTCCGAATAATCGTAGACGAGATGACACGATAGATCTTGGACGTAGGGCCCTCCCGTGGGGTGTTCTCGTACCCTCAACGAATGGGATTGGCTTTGGTCCAGCCTAAGCAGATCTCTCACTCTTTCGTTATAGATTTCCAGGAATGATACTTCCGTTCTGTACGACGCCCCGCTTTCCTTTCCAGCTGCCATTCTGGCGAAAAGCGTCTTGCAAATCCGTGGTATCAATCCCTGAGATTCCTACAATAACGATTCGCATTTAATAACAATAACGTTGATAAAAAGAGATTGTATAAAATCAATGCATCACGTCCTCTTATCAAAGGTGGAAAAAGTTTGATTGTATATTGAATTTTTCATTTTATATTATATATTATTGCAAAATTTATTTGACCAAAATTGAGAAAAACTAATTGATAATTCATAGAAATTATTTTGTTATTTTATAATAATATCAGAGTGAGATTTTTACTGATTCTCAAGAAGGCGTTGAATCTATATCGCCTAATTATATATCTACTCGATACATGAAAAATTTCATGTTTTGCAATAATTAGAAATTTGATTCCTCTCATTTATTGATTTCCCTTTCCCTCGTCTTTTTGATTAAATTATATTCGAAGGGAGTATCGACGCGGAAGTACTTTATCCGCCCATGTAATAAATGAGACTGAGAAAAAGGGAGGACGTTTTTTTTTTTAAGGAATTAGATTATCACATTACCGGCGTGCCCATCATTGTGAAGGTCTTCCCGGATCCTGTCTGGCCATAGGCAAAAACGCAGGCATTGTAGCCCTCGAAGGCACTTTCTATTACGTCCGTACCAAGATCGTAGAAAACCTAGGGGCAGGGAGGAACGATTGGATTAGGATTCGTTTCCCCTATCATTCGATAATACCGAGCGGCGTCTCGCTTTAATAACTGCGCGGCGGAAACGAAGCGAATCTTATCAGTCTCACATTATCCCTCAATGGAGCGTGCCACGCGTTTTACATAATGGCACCTAATTGGGTCATAGTAACGCCGACTTTATAACGATTACAGCCGTGCAAGCCCGAAGCGATTATTGCGACGATCCCGTATTGTGTCCCCGCATAATGACCGAGATTTATTCTGTTCGATTGTACTTTGACAGCCCTCTTTCATTCGTTACAAATGTTTGTTGGCAAACACTAATCGGCCCGAAAGCTTTCGTTACGTCATTACAATAGACACAGCTGTCGATTATATCGATTATGTTAGGAGGATCAATTATTGCTGCAATTATTGTTGCCGCGCTCGAGAGACACTTTCTCTCTCGCACTCGCTTTCTCCACGCTGTAGCTCTTTCGTGATATCTTTTTATCGTCTGTGATTCATTATCGGTGCAATTAAGCTAATTATAACTGCGCGAGCGTAACGCGATCCGCCTCGTCTTTCCGTATACGGTAACGAAAACATTTCACGCGTTTTCAAGGTCGACAGCTTCGTCATCGCGATCGCGAAATCTCGAACGAGTGATTCTTATTTCTTCGCTTCGTTTTCAGCCGTGATAGAAAATATTTCATGACATGTGAACCTCTTCCTGGGACGCATAGTTTTCGTCGTTCGAATCGAAGGACCAGTAGGAGTGATCGAACGTGAAGTCTTTGTACTTCCCCCGGTCGATGTCTTTGCAGCTATCCGGTGTCTGTAAACAATAAGTGGTAATCGTTATTTCAGTATATCGTCGTATAGTGTACGTTTCGTCATGTTATCGCCGTTGTTAGTGTTAAAGTTCAATTATCATTAGTCCGAGTCCAATTTGTACGGATAAATGGATAATGAAACTGACTGTGACGGTGAAAAGAGTTATATTTACATGTATGCAGAGTGTATCTTAAAAAACGCCCACTAATTATATAGCGTAATTTCTTGTAAAAAATTGAGTAGAAAGTCCTGAACCATTTTTTTTTCTACAATAAAGCGATCGCAACTGCAGTAATTACTGCTTCACTGAGCATTGCAGAGAAAAATGGTTCTTAAATAGCGCTCACTAATTACATAACGCTAATTCTAAAAAATTGAGTTGAAAAGTTTTTTTTCTATAACGAAGCAATAACTACTGCAGTAGTGATCATTGAACATTGTAGAAAAAAAAAATGGTTCAGGATTTCTCAATTCAATTTTTTACAAAAAATAACGCTATATAATTTAATGAACGCTAATTACGATACACTCTGTATAATTATGAAAACTATATATAATTATGTCTGTTATATTTATAAATTATATTATATTTATATACATTTTGATATTAAAAATATAGCATTTTTGATATTTTGTAGCACTGGTAAATATAAAATCTCCGAAGAGATTATTTCGATAAAAATTCCGTAATATTTTCTGATAAGTATTTGAGTCCTCGAGGTATAACAAAGCTTCTTGAGGATTTCAAATTTTCCAGGTATTTCCAAATAATAGATATATAATTCGGTACCTTTTATAAATTAAAATTTTTCTCTATAAAATTTTCTTTGTTTTCATCGTGGAAAATGATTGAATGGCATTTCAATCGAATGACTCGCATGTATTCACGTGAGGTTATATACGGAATGCACACATTCCGTTGAATTCCACGTAACTGATAAAGCATCGCTGAGAACATCGTGCTGCATTATGCAAGAAAGCGAATGGGAGGTAGGCAATAAAAAAAAAAAATAAAGACTAGAACGGTTTTCAGGTCAATCTCACTTTTATGATTTCGCATGCGCTTTATATCGAGCCCGCAAACACGCTAGCGGTCGGAAGACAGTATATTAATTTACATATTCGCATGCGAATATGTGTTAGCGAATTTCTAAACTCCGCCGCATAAAATAATAAGTACATATAGTTCGGAAAGCGAAGTTCCAGACAATAACCCGTTCCTCGATAAATCCCGATTTATGAAGTGCTTAGCGAACTGCTTAGCGTTTCCAACTTTACCAAATTTTCCAAAGCACCGTGAATGTTCGAAACAACAATATATAATTTTCTAATAAATATCTTATCGGAAATCGTACGCGCGATTGTACTATTTGTATTGTTAATTTACAAGCAGCTTGACACCGTTCAGCTTGAGTTTTATCAAAATCGATTAAGTGCGCTTTGCGCCTTCGGCCAAGGCTGCACTTAATCCGCGCTTGTCGGAGATCCTTTTTACCGAGCTATCGCTCTCCGTCGGGATTGGCCTTCTCCTTTAGATTAGAAAAACAGAGACAGTCCGGATAAGGTTTAATTGAATGCGGATAAAACGTGGATTATACAACGCGGCGCGCGGCCGCGGCAATTGCGCTCGATTGCGTAGCCGCAATCGGCGAGCAGCAACGAGTTGCTATGGTTGCTGCGGTCCAACCGCGATTTTCGCACTTTCTCCTCGACGCATGCCTTGTTACCTTTCAATGCGGAGATTCACGCAGGTAACTGTAAACTGAGAGATGTACGGTCGTGACATTCTCTATTTTGTTTAGGTACACTGTTAATTCTATGTAGTGTCAAATTTAATCCTAGTTAAGTCGCCACTGCCCCTTATACTTAATAAATAGTTATTTTTAACTAAAACAATATAGTTACTTTTAAGTAAAACAATAGAATTTAACCCAAATTTGGGTTAAATTTGAACTGTTTTAAATTATTTTACTCCAATGTTTTAGTAAAAAATAACTATTTATTAAGTAGGAGTAGTGGCGACTTAAATAATAAGATTTAGTTTATGCTTGACACTATAGATTTAACAGTGTAATCGTTTATTTTTGCAAAAATCGAAGATAAATATATTAAATAATTATATTATTATAATTTCCTTTCCTCACATCGTTTACTTTATAAAACTTATACAAATTTATCTCAGAAGAAGCAAATTTTCTAAATTTATTTTGAGACAAAAAAATTACTTTTTCACGCTCTTTTCTTTATTTTTAATTATCTGCGATATTTTATAATTGAAGCGACTCTCGAGAAATTTTACCAAAATGGTTTGCTCGAAAAAGAAACATGTAAACACGACACGCATCAGCTTTCGTTTTGATAGGATGGATTTGTTGGTCAAAAGTCCAATTAGGAATTACGACTTGGGAATCCATAAAAGTTATTCGTGCAGAAATTATGACGCTAAATTCGCGAGGCATCGAGGCGATTATAGCGAAAAAGAACAGATCGTCCACGTCACGACTTCCGGCTTAGAAATTCCTTTAGAAAGTTTATTTAAGGCCATTATTTCTCGGTACTTTGCGGTATCACGAAGTGAGTTTTTACACGCTCAGGTTGCCATACAACCAAGAATGTTGCTATTAATACAACTAATCAATTCTCTCTGTACAAGTTTTCTATATTTTAAGTAACAGGAGCTTCTAATACTGGAGATTCTATTGAAAAAATTGACGCTATATTTACGGGAAGTCTATTAATTAACGTACAATTGCATATTGAAAATATGTGGCACGGAACGTTCTTTGTGATATCGCAATCCGTTACAATATCGAATGAAAGTTTGATCGTAACGCGAGAACGTCGAATTTGAGCCACCGTTTAGAGCTCGGGCTTTACGGCGCTTTAGAGGGGATAGATGTGACAGTGGACTCGTGATGTAATCGCGGCTTACATCATGAACAAGACCTTCAGTTTATAAACATTGAGCCAAAACGCAAATATGCGACAACTACTTTTAGCACCGAAGATGCGTCTCTCGTATACACAACAAAAGGTTGATCACATCCACCCACGCATTCTAACCAACAACTATCTATAACTCGTGCTCGTAATAACCAACAGTAATATACATACATCAATAATGTAAACATCAGCAGCGTATCTCGACATTTAAAACATCCATACAAAGCCTCGCATGAAATATTCATTAGAGTAAAATCTCTTTTAAATTGAACAATGGACAATTCCCTCGTTATTTAATCTTAAAACACGAAGCGTGAAAAAGATTTCTCCATTTAAGATGGATCCGTTATTCAAGGATTAAGTCTCAACGTTAATTTTCGCTTATTAAGCTCGACAAGAGCGAATATCTAGAAGGTCATAATCATCAAAATTCGTGACTTGTATTGTGTAAAAAGATGCATCAACATCAAATGGGGAAAGAAAGCTGAAATATATATTCTCTAAAGTACCTGAAGTTCTTATTAGTTTCAGAATAAATGTAAAAGACTGACAATATTTTACTATATCAAGAAAGATAAAAGACAAACATAACAGACAAATTTTAGATTCTTTCCGAATCGCCGAGCCCCGGTAATTTGTGCCACCCTACCTCCCATGTACCGCTTTCTGCCTTCTCTGTAACATCCATTACGTATAGCGATTGATCGAATTCTTGTGAAACAAGATCGAAACCGGCTCCGAAACCGGGCAATTTACGCGCGAAAATCAACCGTGGGAGAGCCTCTGACCTCGATTGCGATAATAATCGTACTTGGAATTTACCGTCGCGTTTATGCAGCTGTTCGAATCAGCTGCTGGCTAACAATAACAACAATCATAATGATATCCAACGTAGATTGTCCAACGTAGAATATCGTTACTGTTATACAGTTTGACACAAAAATTTATGGAAAAGATTTACCATTTCCTGTTTTCCCGATTTTAGGCTGAGAAATACTCACATCATTGTTTCAAGAAATTGAAGTCCGAGACTTAACTTAAAATTGTAACGCGATAATTAACGTTATTGAGGTTTGAAAATCGTATTGAAGGAATTACGTTACGAAACGCCACTTATCTAGCATTCTGCAAACTGCATCATGAACAGAACTATAAAAATAGATAACGATTCTACAACAAAGATAATGTTTGACTACATCCGTTATTGCACTTAAAAAAAATCGTAGTATTAGTGACGTAAGCTCGAGTTTTATGATTTGTGCTCTGGCTGGTGACGGTATAACTTTCGCGAATCCTCTGTAGCGGTATTACAATACCCCCAATTATTTGAAAACGTCATGTAGAACGAACGAAATGATAAAAAGGTGCGACATCGTATATATGTTTCGACAAGGGCGGATGGAACGTGACGCGCGCTTGCGAGAAATGGCCTCACCTTGGTGCTGAAGATCCGCGTCCTCTTGCCGCTCATCTGCACGATCAGCTTGTCGTTCATCGCCACCTCTCTGCAAAGCAACAAGCACACGTTTCGTTATCCCGGCACCGACCTCACCCTCTTACAGACGTTATATTAATCGGAGACCGAATTCGGAAAATCGACGAGACGCGCGCAACCGTCCGTAATGCACACCAGTCAATACCACCGACGACACAATTGTGTCACGTGCTGTCAATAACGTTCGACAATGACGACTGAATCGGGAAGTTGCTGTCACTTCTCACACCTTTTTACTTCGCGACGAAATAGTTGAATCCGTCATTTCAAAGGGGATATTGCTCCGAGATTATAATCCTTATTTTCTCAGAAAAAGCGAATAACATCCGATAATTATTTTTACAGCTGTCTAATTTTATTATCATCAAATATATGTTATTGTTTAATATTATTTGCTTTTTATGAATGGAATTAATACTAAATGCATTTTCAATGTATTTAGGATGAAGAGACCATGGTTACGTTTCTCGTATATTTGCCGAATATATCTCTAAGAAATATAGCAAATTCGCGGAAATGACAAGCTTTTTTTTAAATGTAATTTAGCAATAATTACTCACATTAATTAGAATTTTGAGGGTCATCTCATCAAAATTCTTTCTAAAATTCAAAAGTTATTTGAAGTAAAACAAACTAAATAGTTCTTCCGACTTTTAAATGCCTGAATTAAAATAGCAACACAGAATCAATGTATGTGTATAATAGATAAAATTAAGATAAAATCGATGCTTTCTCACGAATAAAGACATTTGCATAAGTGTCTGAGAAATTGGCGATTTGTAATTAAGATGGACAAGACAAGATAAAAGTAAAAAAAACTGTGGAGGTGTTCGGCGGAAGTGAATCACTGGTCTTTACTTTTTTTTTTGCTTTCGAGTTTCGATGTCCTACAATAGCATAGAACGTGCGAGAAGATTGAATCACTCTGACGATGACGAATCCATTTTCCAATGATTTCAGTCGCATTCATCGCGCCCCGCGCATGCATATATCATCCTTTGTATTCAAATAAACATTGCGTCAATGATTCCAGCGGCCGATTAATATCTATTGGTCGATGCGCTCAATATACGCTGCAGCACGAAGAGACATCATCCACGGAATGTTATTGACCGCAAAATAATTACATAATCATTATTGACTGATGGCGATACGAATACCAGGAAAATCTAGTGTACGTCTAAGAAACTGGAGCGTAATTCTTTCGACGGAATTTCAAAGACGTCACGACGGCGAATTCGGGCGATGCAACGGTGTGCGCAACTGGATGCGCCCTAAATGTCGTCATCCACGAGTTGACGTACAAATACATACATATATCACATGACATTATTTTAACGTACTATACTCGCTGTCGGGATTAATTGTATTAGGGTTTCGATCGATCAGCGCGCTCATCTACGCTCTCTCGGATAAAAATTTGCGCGCGACACGTCTCGCGGCGCGTATATCGAGACACGCCGCGACGGTCCAGCTGAATTTTCGGAGCAATCGGGAGCGACGGTGTGGCGCGACCGAAAAAGTGATTCCGTCGCACCGCGCGGACGGACATTCTGGTCGCAATTGTATACGAGAGCACGACGGCGAGAGCACGACGACGGTATGTACACATCGTATAGACGCATAAGACTCTTTCTCATCTCACGTCGCGTAACACGAGACGAGGCAAGTATTTCCGGTCACCAGTTGCACGAGACACACACATGCACACACACACGCACCTCTTGTTGAAGGGTCGAACCCTCACGGCCACCTTCACCGATGCCATGGTCCCGCAGGAAGGAGCGCATCGGGCTCGAGGGAACGCGAGGTGCGATCAACACCACCGCCGTTTCCTCGCGCGGCGACGCCGGAGATGGTACGCAAAGTAGCGGCTGGGAGCGCGTCACGTACGTCGCGTCGCGTCGCGTGGCGTGGCCTAAGAAAGACGCTGGCGTCCTCGTCGAGCCTCGAGCGCGCCCGGCAGCAGCGACATCGTCGTCGTCGTCTCGACACTCTCTTTCCCCACACCCACCGCCCGTGACTCACGGACGACCGCCGACCGCGGAGCGACTGCCGCTGGCGGAGCGGAGCGAGTCGAACGATGAGGGGGGTGGAGGGGGGAGCCGCGCGCGCATGCGTGATTCCCGCGCACCCGATCGGCGGCTGCCTAACCTAATGCCTATTTGCTCCGGCGCCGTCGAAGGAGAACCGTGGAGGATATTCAAATATCCAGCATATTGGAAAGAGAAGTGCACGTCGAAAGAGCGGCGCCAGTATGTCAAGGAAAATATATATATATACATGTGTATGTTACAATATACAAAACGTTAAAACACCTTGTTAAAAATAGAGGAAGCGGGAGAAGGACGCGCGGAGGAGGAGAGAGGATACGTGTCCTGCTCCTTTCTGGAAACTTATGAATATTCTCCTCCTCCGCGTGTCAGCTTCTATTATTATTCAATTCTCTATATGCATACTATAATTCTTTGTACTTCCACAAAGTAATATGGTCACCCTATCAGCCTCTATTATATTATTCAATTCTCTATATATTATAATTCTTTATATTCCACAAAGTAATATATATAATATGTCACCCTGGATACATCTTGATAAAATGTTGAATCAATATTGCAGGTGATACCAGTATATATCAGAGTATATGTCGGAAGTACAATATCTTAGAATTATTGAATTCCCCGGAGCTGTTCGGCTGCCCCGACTGAAGGAGGGTATTCAAGTGGAAGAACGTGGACCAGGTGCGCCTCGCGCTTTTCCTTGGGAACGTCTTTCATGCAGGCGCAATGACGTCATCGCGGTCGTTAGCACAAGCCCGGAGCCGCGCGCGCCGCCCACGCCAAGGCAGCGGTCGCCGAATCGAATCGCTTTGCGGTTTTTCGAGCGCATAACGGCGGTCGCCGCGCCGGCGAGAATTCGCGTCATCGTCTTGTTGCCAGGCCCCTGCAGGGAGGTCGGCTGTGAGGCGCGAGCGCACCGCAATTCACCTGCATCCACCTGCCCGGCTGGTGAATTGCATGGCAACGCGACCGTGAGTGTCAGAGCGGAATCGAAAAATTAAATTTTTAAGGAATAAATTACTCGTTGGGATGAAAGAGGTATCTCCTATATACTTTGGGCGCCTCACAAACGTCATTTTATTCTTCTTGACATTTAATGAGTAACAGAGACAAAACGACACTTGTGCTGGCTTGTGTCACTAAATTTACTAAAAGAAGGAAAGGTCCCTTCACAGTTTTTATGGTATTTCAAATTGAATTTAATATTATCCCAAATTCAAATTCTCAAAATTTGCCTACATTAACGATACCAAAATCAATTTCTTTATAAGAAATATAACAACGTTTTTTTTTTGATAGAAAGCTCAAAACATTTGTCGAAGAGAACTGTTTGTCGTTCCATTGTCTTAATGTCAGCAAGAAGAAAATGATAAATTGCGAGAACCTTGAAGAACCTATGCAGCGCATATAGCGATTCGTATATAGCCGCGATCGGATTGACGTGACCGCATTTGCGTCGTATATGAATTGCGAATTTATTTAAGCGCAGCGCAGACTTCCGGAAGACTAAATACGGCCGCGGGATAATGACGGTCGGATGTGTCCCGGTCCTGCCATTGACCGCGTAATATCGCTTATGCTACTAACGTCGGCACACGTGCGAAAAGGAGTCAGATGAATCCCGACGACGTGTCGTCTGAACAAAGACGCTCGAAAGTCGGTGAATACGGATGTAATTTCAGAAAGGTCTGTTTGTCTATTGCGAAAAGGAAACACGATCTTCCAAATCATACAGTAACTTTCTTTATACTTTTAGATTCATTTATCTCTGAATTAATGATATAGCAAAGAAAACATGATACATCTCAAAGAAGACGTATTTAAAATTGCAGAGTAAAATTCTTTACAAAGAAAGAAGCTTCTTTGTTTTCAAGAAAAATGCTCAACTAAAAGTATCACGCGCAAGATTTTATTATTTCGATTTATTCTTTTCATGACCCAAGATAGCGTGTATAGAAAGTTTAAAAAGAGCTCACTCAGTCATGTATATGTCATCAATTCTAAGTTTATTTTAAAATGCAAAAAGAATTCTTTTTCAGAAAAATTCTCAGAATTGATGACATACAGCTGAATATACGAATGAATTCTTTTTGAACTTTGTGTGCTATTTGGGATCGAAGCTATTATTTTCTTTCATATAAATAGCGTGATTTAATCTCGACGCGCTGAAAACAAAACTAATGAATTCACCAACAGTAATGTATGTACGTCCAATGTACAGAATACTGTAGACGCACCGGATGTTCATCCGGTGGCTCGTCATGTGTGTCTATCTAAGACAAATTTAACGTTCTTCCTCGACGGTACATTTCTAGGAAGGGGGGACCACATCACACGAGTCCTTCTCCGAACTCTTACAAGAAAAATATGTAGCGAGGATATTTTGAAAAACATAATATTTTTGAAAAATCTAAGCACGTAAAATGCCTTTGAAATCATAAAAATTTGTTTAAAACAAATATGATATTTTTTCGCTAAATTTGAAAATAAACATGTAGATTTTTTTCAAAGGAATGTCTCAATTCCTTAATACGTTTTAGAACGCTTATTAAAAAGTATGTGTTTCTTATTATTAATCTACTATAACATATAAAAAATTGATCGAAATTAAGCGAAGGGTGACACGCGCGCGTATTTTTATCATACCTATAATTTTCTTTCTTGCCGACTGTCGGTCTGAGTTTGTTGAAACGCGTACAGATGGCAGCACTCGCCACGCGAGGCGAGCGTTCCGGTAAACGGAGCCAGTCCTGCCACTAGTTCACCGGACTCCGGAGCTCCTCGAATCGTTGGAGGAGGGAGCGCGGGAGCGGAAGCGCGAAGGGAAGGGTGCACGCGGCGTGGGGGACGTCGGCGAGGGATCGCGGAGAGAGTCGCGGGACTCGCGGGCCGCGTCAGTTGGGTAGCAACTGTCGGGCGCGTGTTGTCGCTCGCCGTTTGGTGTCGGGGTAAACGCGTGCGCGGGGTGCTGTGGGTTGTGTTGATGGTGGGCAGTGGTAGTGCGCGAAAGGTGATACTCCTCTCTCTCTCCTCCTCTTCCTCCCCTCCCCCCGCCGTCGTTGGTCGCGCGCGCCCGTCTTTCTCTCCCTCGCGGAACCCGCGTTCCTCCCCCGCCCTTCCGCCCCTCGCTCGTCCAGAAGACGCCAGGGATGTGCAGTGAACTTACGAAACGCGAAAACATGTGATTCCGACGAGGGGCGAGACAGCAGCCCCCTCCCCCCCTCTGCTCGCGCGACACCCTTTTCCGGCTCTCGCCGCTCGCGTCCGCCTCGCGGGGGTAGTGCTGCTTTCACCTCATCGTACTCTCGCATCGCGCGCCCGCCGGGATACGCCGCTGGACCCCCTCCGCCCCCTGGTCCGCCCCTGTTCGTGTCTCTTCGCAATCGTGCGGCGCGTCGAGGGGTCGTCGCCGTGGAGGAGGATACGATGTTCTGAATTTCGAGGCAGCGAGAAGAGCCACGCGCGCCGTCATCATGGTCACGAAGCACTTCGCATTACAGGGTGAGTTGCTCTCTCTCTCTCTCTCTCTCTTTGCCACCCCCGCGCGTGCCTGGTCGCCGCTCCTGTTTCTCTCCCCGTCTTCCCTGCACCCGCTCAAATCCCCCGTGCTTCCCGGTGCATGTCTATCGCCCCCGCCCCGAACGTGTCCCAACGCGATAACGCGCGTAATTTCTCGTCGCCGTCGCCGTCGCGACGCCTTCTCGTAGGCGTACGTCGTCGACCTCCCGCGAGCGGGTGGGTGCAGACCGGGTGGGTGCTACTGGGTGGTGCAGCTCGATCATATAATAACATACCCCGCGACGTTGCATGTACCTTCCACACACACTCTCGTCCCTTGTCCTTTCGTCGTTCCCTCTCCTTTTTGAGAATAACAGATATAATATCGTGGACTCGATAAGCAACGCATCGGTAATAACACCCGTCCTTTGAAGCGCGAAATAATTCCAAGGGGGAAATTTTGAACGTTAAAATGTTAAACATTGTCGTCAAACGTTTTCTTTTTTGTAATAAAAATTTTATTTATTAAAATAACATTCTCGGTAATATTCTGCAAAGGCATGGAAATGTTGAAAAATTATAACAATTTGGTTAATTAATTTTAATTGCGGTTAGCAATTTGCAGTTATTAAATTACAGTTTGCTGCGATAATTAATATTCTCTGTGTGTGTAATAAAAAAAATAGACCTACTTTTATAATCCGCTGGCTTTCGCGATTCTATAAAATTCCGCAGTTGCTGACAAAATTATACTCACTAAACTGTCGGTATTGCGATTACTTTTCTGAGTGCGTAGTGGGAAGTAGTAGTTAAGATATATTGTATGCTGTTATAAGGACTGAAGGAGCTAATAAGGATGCACGGCGTCGATTTGATTCGCCTGTGTCGACCGCGAGAACACTCGCGGCGACCACTTCACAGTTCCTCCCTCTCGTTCGTTTTCGGCATACTGATCGAACAGGCGGGCGTTTCTCGCCGTGGTCGTTCGTCTCGTCGCGAGCTACCACCGTTCTCCCGATGTTTACTTGCTATCGAATTCAGGAAATCCATAGTTTCCGAGATATTAAGCGATTAAAAAGGATGACTCGTCGCGAGCGAAATTCTCAGAAGAACGAATAAACAACGGAATTATATTCTTCAGTCAATTTTACATGAAAATTTTATAATAGTGAAATTTTGATTTATAAAACGTGACATATAAAATAATATTAGGTACTGAAAAATTGCAGTCAAGAATTATTTCTCTCGATTTTTTTTACTAACAAAATTGATGATTGTTTTTTTAGTCAATTTTAAGTGAATTGCGGTAAAATTCAATTTTTTTCCATAAAAGCATGACATGTATTTATAATTGATATTAGAAAATTGCAACTAAGGATTATTTTCCTTAACTTTTTCACTATGTAAAAGTTGATTCGTCATGAGAGAATCGGTCATTAACGTGGTTGATCGTGGGATACCCTGATGGCACGTGCATTTGTAGAAAGAGAAGAGAAGCAAACTGAGATTAAATTTACGCGCGTTGCCTTTCCTCTTTAAAAAAAAAAAAAAGAAGAATTAAAGAGTCACCCTTCTGCTGAATATCTGTTAACGCGATCAAGGGGACGTTTCGCGCTTCGTTGAAAAACGAGGCTGACAAATGTCGCAGAGAGACAAGCATGACAGCGGCGACGTGCGAGCGTACCCGGCAGCGGGGACCTGACCGCGCTGATGTCAAGTTCGCCGGCGACTTTCGCCGCGCCGGTTCGACGCTCAATCGATTCGCGCGCTCGCGTAATCCCCGCGTCCTCGCGTGCCTCGGCGGCGGTCTACGCGCTCGTGTATAGAGTATACGCGCTTCGTGCACACGCTCGAGCGAAGAAGTCAAGGGAACGCGACGGTGGGAAAAAAAAATATCCCACCGTAGTTCACGGGTTCACGAGAGCAACGACCAGCGTGGTGTGTTCCATACCGCGTTGCGGTGATGTTTACGGTTCGGCGTATAGTAGTTTCGCCACGAGAGAAAAAAAAATGCGCTCTATATAATTGCAATAACAACATGATTTAACCGTTCGATTTCGCGAGATATTTAGATTCCTGTCGATTTATCGCTGCATCTTAAAATATCGACTTATAATGTCGAATTAATTATTTAATATTGCCGTATATATTGATTATAATTGTTAACGTGAAACATATTATCGCGATAAGATTCCATTTAACAAGCTGACATTTATATCAGATTAAATGTACGCACATATCTCGGTTCTTTTATCGTATTAACGTGTATCCACGTCGAGCTCGATTGATAGGCTATACGCAAGATCGCGAAAAGGTTTCCTTGTCGGAACGCTGGCTCGAGTGTACAACCGGCATTCGTAACGCGCCTATCAAAGATATCAATGCTGCTGATAAAGTTGCTTATAGTATATACTTTACGATATATATATACTGACGGTCTTTCGTCGCGCGAGTACAAAGCGGCCAGTCACAGTTCGAAAAGGCACCGCCAAATGAAATGTGCGATATATAATAGCGCGACGCAACATCCTGCGTTTTATCTGTCTCATTGTCAATATCGTCCTTATGCCAGAAATATATAGATCCAGCAGTCCCACAAATTATCGTTGTTTATCACATTAAATATTATTACACGCTACTTTCGAGTATATTAATTGTCGTAGGAAATAAATTTAATCATATCATTTCTTTGAAACGAATTGGAAAATTACGGGATATTTTTGCGAAATAATATCTCACTTCACTTTATCTTTCTCCGTCGTCGGTTTGATTTCCATTTAATTTTATCTTTTATATGTATGTTCTGTATATGTATGTTCGCAAAAGAAGGAAAGCAAGTGAGAGAAGAGCAGAAATTATTTCATCCGATATAAATATACATCCGTAATATTTATACACACAGAGATGTGAAATAGATTTTTAATTGAAATTTTTTAATTGAAAAACGTTAGTAAAAATAACATGGTAAATTCTATAATTAATGCGTATCCCGTTTGTGACGGAATACGATTTGTTTCTCGTGGACGATGATGGTGAAACATTCGTGAGAATTCCTATATCCGATTGCGACCGTCGATGTTATTTCTCACGATTTTCTCGCAGCGTCAGAATTTCAGGAAATTGGATTCGGTATACGATCGCGGCGAGCGACGCGAGAAACTTTCCCCCGATGAGATATACCCGCGAGCGTAATCGTCGAGATCTCGTTCTCCGGGCCAATGAGTCATCGGTATGACATTTCTAAGGAGCAGGTTTCCCCCGCGGTATATATTCTGGTATGCATTCAAAATGAATCATCGCGTGTTTCGTATGTATCGTAAAAACCGACTTTCGTGGAAACTAGTTTCATCGTCGGTTGGCATTGATTATACACAGGATGTGTTACGCGTTTTCACTCAACTATGAATTATCCGATAAATTTCCGGAATCTTGGCGGTGCAGCCAAGAAGAATCGCAGTATTAACGATGACCTAACAGCGGAATTATTCAGATTGCTCAGCGAATTAATATTTGCATGTATTTTGCGAATTAAGAGATCTCTCCCTCTCTTCGAGGAGAGAAATAACATCTATATTTTCTTTAATTCCACTTCGGTAATTTTACGCGGGCTTAGTTGTAACAAAATTAGTTAATTCGAGGCTTAGTAATCGAGAGGCTCAACTGAAATTAGATTAAATTAAATTACACTGATAGCACAGATAATTATTTCAGGGTTATTAGATATCGAATAACGGGTGATAACCCGTAATTTGGCGTAATTTGATTACATACGTCCGCAAGATAACGTTCATTCATAAAAAAAAGTTAAATTCGGCTTTGAGTCGCCAAAACTTCCGCTGCGGAAAAAAAAATATCAACATCGGATTTATCGTGCAATTCTTAGCGGGGGAAGCTGATACGCCCGAGTGAATTCTGATATACCCTGTGTAAACTGAACGTTTTATCGCCTCTGGATGGGATACGACGAACGACTGCACGCAGAAACTTTACGCGTATCCTCCCTTCCTTCCGTCACGCGGATCCAAGGCGCGTGTCCTGCGGCCCTAAGCTCGGCTGTGAAAATGATGCTCCTTTCTACTATAATACTATGTAATAATACATGCATATGTCTTACACACACACACACACACACACACACACACACACACACACACACACACATACGCGCGCGCAACGACGGTATAACTACGTTGCGCCATGTGGGCACCCGTGCCAGTTGTGCATTTTAATTCTCTCTCCCCGGTTGCAAGTCGTTCGTGACTGCTCTTTGTTCCGCACATTTTCTCATTGGCTTACTCCAATCTCACGCGCGCGATTTATATGTTTCTTCCATGTCGCGCGAATCGATCGAGCGTGATTCCACGGGGCAATTTCGAAATTGGAATGAATAATGATAGAAGGATTTATCTTACTTAGAATCTCTGGAAGGCATAGCTGTCTAATTACGATATGTACAACGATTGCTGTGAAAATTACCTATGTGCCTTTATTGGCTATTTAGTTAATGGGGAATGATGTAAATCGGATTTTTAAATGCAATTTTTAAATGCTCTTGTTGCGCACATTTAACTCTAAATGTACATATTCGATATTAAATGACATTGCAGGTGATTTTAATGGAATTTTTTAACTGTAACTTTTATCACCGTTCCCGAATGACAAAAAAAAATTTAAATACACGAAATGTATCTCGTTCATGTTTTAAATGTTTCAGTTAATATGAGAAATCAACATCAGAATTTTCTACATCTGTTTTCGATAATTTCTCGACAAATTCGGAATTGAATTTTGTTTGGGAAAAATTTGATCGCGCATCAGGCTGGCGAAATTATAATTTAATTTAATCTCGTCACGGAATTTTTATTTAAATTAAAACGCATCGCTCGCGACAGAAAAACTTTGTATTTATGTGAGGGCACATTTTCAACTGAATATTATTGAGTTGCATATGCAACTATTTAAATATATTATAGCTCTTATTTACAATTAATACCATTTCATTATAAATTTAATATACGTTAATTTTTTAATTATGTTAATCGTTTGAAATCGACAATTAATATTAAAATAACGTACGCGCGTTAAACCTACAGCTAAAAAGTTTCTGAGTCTCACTACCGTCGCTGTTTGACTTGATGACGTCATTATCAAACTACGGCGTACTAATTAGAGATAATTTATATCCCCGTTTTTATCACTTATCTTTCATTTTGCTTCGTCGAAACGATGCGTGGCCTTGATGAAAGCAGCTGCAAAATCGATTTGCATTTCAGCTCCCGAAGTCGCACGAAATTCGAGTCACTGTCGACCGTGGTCCACGTGCAGATTCCCGTTAATCGCGACCTTGAAATTACGCCCGGCAGCTGGGCAGCGCAGGTGCGATCGAGTGGTGCATAGGAGTCACGGATGCATGTGCGCGCCGGGTTGCACCTGCGAATCGCTCGCGAAAACTTGATTCTTCGCCGCCGGCACGTGGATTACCGTCGAGGAGACGAAGCGCGCCAAATGATTAATTCTCTATGCGTGTGTGTGCGTTTACGACGCGTTTCGTGTTGCACTGTTGATCGTCGCAAATTGATTTCGGGACACGGAAGAGCAAAATCTGACGGGATAACGATCAACCGTGTCAAATCGTCGCCACAAATTGGCCTTGATTCACACTTAATTTCATCACTATTTTATGAAAGCACGAGATTTTCTCGCTGACTTAAATTTTCAAGATGCAATTAAAATTGGAGGGAATTGAAATCGCTATCGTGTCCTAAGATCGATCTGCAGATAATCTCCGTGAGGATAACACGAAAATTATAGAGAATATTTTAATAAATAAGACGGAAGACTCTTTTTTTGAACCACGACGCTAATGAAAAGTTGTTCACCTTCGAAGCAGCAAAATTGTCACTTGTCGAACAACAGGTGGTCAAGCACGGTTCCCTTTGATGTGTGAGTTCACCGCGGGAATGTAATCGAGATGATATTCGATATTATAGGCAGAAGTGCCGAACAATCGGCAAACATATCTTTAAATAATTATTAACAGTTTTACTTTCATTTTCTTAATTATGCTTGTTTGCTGACCGATAATGTGCCGAATTTTTATATTTAACTGTTCAAGGTCAATAATCAAAATTAAAGAATCGCAGAGCGTTTATCTGGAAAAACTTTGAAAACTACACGGATTAAATAAGAGTTTTAATGTTTATTTAAAATCTTTACAATGTTTACTTGCAATCATCTCTCATCAGTATCTTTTTCTCTTTCAGGCTCAAGCCCTGAGTGCGGCGTGCCGGACATGACAGTCATCAGCGATATCGATGAGATCGGTATCAATCGGAATCTTCAAGTTCGGTACAGTAGGGACCAGATATATGTATCCTTTATTTTACGATGTAGCTGTACACAAATTCGCATTCGCACCATGCCCCCCATGCGGCAGAAAATTATTCTTATGTCGCTTTAATACTTAAAGTACTAAATCGATTTTTGAAATGGATCTTATCTGGTCTTTGACAAACTTAATAATCAAAAAATTTGAAAACTATTATTCTCAAATAGTACGATAACATGATAACTTATGCAGCAGATACGAGATCCAAAAATATTCCAAAATAATCGACAAAATCGAAAAAATATTATTATTTCGTTTATCTCAATATTCCCATTGACTTGATTGTCCCTAAAATCGAGAGGCTGTACATACATTTTCGTTCTGAAGTGCGCAGCTACGAGCTCGAGCGTGTATTATTTCTGTGGTTCCACATTCGCTTCTGTCATACGAATTAGGCAAATGAACAGAGAAATAGATAGGCGGGCGACGAGAGATTAACCGATTTCGTCCGGCAGAGATGGGCGAACGGTAGAGGGAGAGAAAAAAAATGAATCGACCGAGGGAGAAGGATGATACGAGAGGGACGCGTATGAATATTGCAGGGGTGGGCAGGGCCGCTCCTAGGTTGTCGCGTTGCTATGACGATCTCAGTCAGCTGGCGAATCACCCCAGGGTCAGACCCATTCATCTCTCATCGGCTTGGGTTTGCCAACGACCCAACGATATCGCAGCGACCCACTGTCAACCCTTTTCTCGCGCTTTAACTAACGAACAACGATACGAAAATCCGCGGATTAGCATATAGTTCTAGGCGCGTTTAGCTCAATGAAATAATCGGCGGTATTTTTACATGGAGATCGTCTGACGTATCCGGAGTAACGTTGGAATGATGTTGTGTATTATGTGATCTCAAAATGAGATAAAAATGACAGAATTATAATAAAGAGAACAATGGAGAAAGTTGGAAAAACCACGGAAAAAACGATTTTGTTAAAAGGTCTAAAAATTTTGCTAAATACAGATCTGAAAATAATTTTTGTTCAATAATCAAAATAATTTGTTGGAAAGTTAAAAATAATAAGCATTTGCTATAAATTAAACGTTTTGATATTCTAGCAATCATTTTGACTTTTCAACAAAATTATTTTGATTATTGAAGAAAAATTATTTTCAGATCTGGATCCAGCAAAATTGTTCTTTCCGTGTGAATTAAAATCTTGCGTTCTAATCGCAGTAATATTGTACGTTGTATCAGGGAAGCCAATGTCCGAATTAACTTCGTCGAGATTGGATGCCATTTAGTGGAATTAATACGGAGCGTATTGTCATACAGAATCAATATCGGAAGCCACATTTCGCTTTGCGTACGTCTAATGTAATGATAAATACACATAATCATTGGCAATCAGAATTGCTACCCATTTAATCGATTTATTGGATGCGGATTGTTAAGGACCTGCTTGCATTTAGTGATAGTATATGAATGAGATTTGCGAATATTTTATAGCGCCAGTAACTGTAAAATCTCACGATACTCAACGTATTACAGGGCTCAAAAAATCTACAGCTACTCGCAATTGACCAATTAGTTACCGGAATTCAAACACGCGATTTAGGTCGTCGGCAATCCACTCGTTAGTAGACACTTCCTCGACATGCGACATAACGCGTGCGACGACGTTATACTTATAGACTAATCTTCCGTTGCATTTAGATGGAAATGATGTAAGACCGACGAACGAACGTCTGTGACATCGTAGGGAATGTAGTACATAATTGTTAACTACACGTTCTTTTAATAATTATTTCGATTATTCTTTTCTCTAGAAATATTATACGTCAAAAATTATTCCTTTTAAATCAATTAGCGATATTAATTTGTTTGGAGAAATTCTATCAATGCAATTGTTTCTATTTAATAATAGAAACATATTTGAAGTAATTTCTAACTCCGTTGCAATTTTCGTGAAATCTTAATTGGAACGTGTCCCATTTATTGAAGGGGCTGTGTAAGAAACGGAACTTGTTTCCCAGAAAAGTCAAGCTCTGCTTAGTCACCACCACACACGCATGCATACACATGTCGACGCTCACTTTTTGCTGCCTGAGATGTAATCGAAAAATTAAACGGCTCGTAAAGCGGTCGTTCGGGTCCCTCGGCCTTTTCGAATCTCCGTCACTGAGCACTTCTTATCGTCGTCACGGGCACAAACGAGATTCGCAGCTGGTAAAGACAGCTCTCGCTGCGGGCACCAAGGCCTGATCAAGCGCGTTTCTCGTACGTAAAATCTCAAAACTGCGTGAATCGAGTCGTGAATAAAAATCGCGCGAATCTACAGTCTTTTTTTATTGGTTAATTTAACGTTCAATAAATATTGATTCAAGTATCTTGGTTGTAATTTAAACATCGTACGAAAACAAATATTCGTAAGTAAAAAAAAATACGCATATACAAATCCGGATTAAAAAAAAAACTGGTTCGTGAAAGGATCAATCTTTATGCAATTAATATTAATTAATATTTCATGGAGGAAGGAAGCGATGAATTAAGTCTGCAATATTTAAAAATGTCACAGGCAAACATCCGTTTTCTTGTCGCAAAAGTAGGTCGCTCGGATAAAGGGTTAAGAAACCGACGACCGAAATCATTCAGTCATCCATCGTGCGTGATAATTAAACGCTTTTCTTACCTTAACTGCAGCTTTCCCAGCTTCCAGGCAGCTTAACCCTTTCCAGAGCGAGTGGCCCAATTTTTTCGCATCGATGAACTCTCTCGCGCGACCCTCCAGACATTCACCCTCCTGCTCTCGTCGCCGTGTGTCTCTCGTTTTTTCTTCTCTTTCTTTTTTACTCTGTCCTATGCTGCCGTTAATAGAGGCACACGGGATCGTCCCGTTCCTGCCCGCCTCCTCCTCCCCCGCGACGAGTGCAATTCAAGTCGGCTAAGGGCGCTCCGCTTGCGAGAGAGGTTAATGAGAGCGAACTACACCCCCCCTTCACACATATATGCGGGCATCGCGGTGCTGCGCGAACGCGCGCGCACCGCGCGCACGTGGAAAAACACGCGCAAAGGAACGAACGACATCCGGTTCATCGGCGAAGCCGCGCACTCGAGCCGCTGTCTCTGATCTTGCACGCTCGGCTAAATTAAAATGCAACCGACACATCCCAACCCTCTCTAGCCAGACATCACACCGCTGCTATTATTAGCTTAAATCGCTTAATCGTTTGTTTTGCCTCTAAATTAAAAGGATCATTGGGAAAAGGAAGAGAGAAAGCGTCGCGTAAGCCTTTTCATTCGAATGACTCGATTGAAGGGATTTGTCAAGCTTATTATGTCATCTTCTTTGTGTTCCTTGTGCCTTTATGTTCAATCAAATATTTTCGCGTAAAAATAATATGTAAGATGTGGAAGAAATTGCTTTCTCTCTCTGTATATCTTAATCTTTATAAAAGTCATTCGCGCGACGGTCAAAAATTTGTCATTTTTCTATTAGTATTTATCGGCTTGCAGATGTTGTCAGAAAAAAAACATCTCTGGATCACAGAATATTCTACATTTTTACTCGCGGAATATTTCAGGTTCTCCGAGTCTGATGATTATCTGCATGCGCCGACGTATTAATAACCGGAGTTTCCGAGAACACGGAATACTCCGGAAAACACGGAACGTTCCGTGATCCGCAGATAATGCGTTGAAGTATGGTAGAAGTTAATTTCACAACGTTCCTGCGTTTCGCTATGCGACAGCAATATCGCTGGGAAAGAATTGAGAGTTTCCAGGTCGATCGAAGCTTCCTGCAGAAATTATATCGCGCGACGCGAAAAAATATAGATCTATCCTCCGCTCTCCCCTTGTCCGCTATACGGATAAACTTCTCGGGCAGATGGACGGTCCGTAATTGTAATTAAACTTGATTTTATTACGGCGTATAGAGAACGTAAATCAGGAAGTTACCGATGGGCGACGCGAGACGCGGTTACCCAAGGGGTTAATTAAATTGTTAGACCCTTGTTGGTAATGACAGGGTTTCGATAGAGCTTGGATCGGAGGCTCTAGATGGGAACTGTATATAATCACCACAGGAGTTGACAGCCTCTATATGTATATACGCGAACGCCGGTTAGAAACGTACGCATTCAGGCTTGCTCGAAAACAAAGAATAAAGGTACAAAAACGCGTAACATAAATAAAGTATAAACACGAAGTGTAAAAAAAACATGTGAGCAAGCAAACTGTTTTTTGTACAGTGAAAGATTGATATACGAACAAATGGAGGGAACGCGAAAGAAGAAGTATTCGCCATTCTATAGCTCTTTATATAGACAATCTGGATCTTAACAATAATAATAATGAATTTTTATAATATTTAGTTTATAATATTTAGTGTATTCTTTAAATGACATACGAATTTCTCACTCACAGCTATACATAAATTCTCTTTCCGTGTCTCCATTTCTTCGTTGTAATTTTAAATATGAGAAAATTTCACAATATGAGAAAATTATTCTTCATATTCATAGATATTTTTAGACATTTTCGGAAGTATAAATTTATTAATTGTTTGATTTATAGGTATAGGTATACTTTTAAATACCGGGAATTTTTTAAATGCTAATCTGCAGGACAGGAGATTCAACAGTCATCCTACCAAAACGACCGAAACGAGTTTCGAACTTTCGGGCGTAGATCAGCACCCTACTGGTCTCAAATGTTGCCGAAGGGTGGCACGGTTATAGGTGTACTGCTCCCCTCCCCCCTTTTTCGTTAACGGGTGTAGCATTCAGCCATGAGTCATACCCCCTATAGGTCGCCCCCGAGCGTGACGTCATTACCGAGCTCTCTCCCCCGACGAAAGCATGTCATCCTCGGTTATTATGCAAGGGATAGGACTCATAGTAGAGCTGTGCGCTTCTCTCTCTCTCTCTCTCTCTCTCTCTTTCTCTCTCTCGAGATTTCTTTGGGGATATTCCCGTGAATCTGAAATCGCGCGACGCAATTTTAAGCTTGTCTTATAGCTCGTTTTTCTAAAAGTTATCTAAAAACGGTTTTATTGCAATTTTATATAGGTCACACAGAATATTCTAAAGAGCAGATCGTAAATTTTGACACATTATTTTTAATCATCTCAAACTTTATATTTCTTTAATGAAAATATGAAGACGTTGATGTCACTTGAATTGAATAATAAGAAATCAAAAGTAAAAGTGAAATTAGATGGTATTCAAATTTCAAGCGGATTTTTCATGAAATTCCAAGTTGTTTGAGAAATAAAAATATGGAAATTGTCAGATAGAAATGATTGACTAAAATATCCGCTAAAAGAATATCATTCTCAAATTATTCGTGGAATATTAGAGAGAGAGAGAGAGAGAGAGAGAGAGAGAGAGAGAGAGAGAGAAACCGGCAGTAAAAATAAATGGACGCGACGCGTTGAATTCCTGAGAGAATGGGAATTCCTTGAAGCATAAAATCCCACTGCCGGTTTGCCCTTTTCGGGGCAGACCAACCAACCCCCTGTAATATTAACGCGGCTACATCGCTCTGCACTTTTCACGCGGTTTTCGAGGGCTCGCGCTGATCGATGGCGAATGAATTAACGTTTCGCCGCGGAGCATCCCACGACCGGCGATAAATATTCAGCGAAACCGTCTCAATCTTCCCTTCGCCCTTCGCGATTGTGCACCTTTATCATTTATCAGTCGCATAATAATTTATTCAGGGAATCCCTGCAGAGATAGACCGCGATAAGCGGAGTGCGCAAACTGCGAGCAATATTTATAGGTACTTCAATGCCGGGCAACTTGTAAAATGTTATACTGGCCGTGTATGTATACACGGTGCCGTGCAAGAATCATCATCCCTCACCGTCCGCCGGTTTATTCAACGTCGCGTTATGACAGCGCAACGAATGTTGACTAATTACTCAAGCGGCCAAGTGAAATATGCGGTATGTGTAAATTGCAGAGTGAAATATACGATTGTGATTTTTATTTTAAATGTCGCATATATAAATTTTGTCATTCCTCTAGTACTTCGTCAATTTTAGATTACATGAAGTGTTACGTCACGTGCAATTTGTTCACATCGAGAACTTCTGAATTTTACAAAAGAAAGATTTATCCTTTAATCTATTGAAATGTTAACTTTACGATTAATTCATTTACATAATTAATTTCAAAATGAT